CTCCGCCAAGGCGTTGTCCACTTTCTTAATGGGTGCTGCCAAAATATGGTTTGATACCCTGCCCCCAGGCAACGTCACTTCTTATGCGGACTTGGGACGGAAGCTCCACGTGCGGTTCTTTTCCAGCAAGAGGGCCAAGCGCACCATTCACGACTTGTCTTCGGTCCGTCAGCGCCGGAACGAGTCCCTGGGGGAGTACCACGAGAGATTCACGAAGGAACTCATGATGATAGACCAGGTCGATGATCTAGTAGTGCGGGTCGAGTTCGTGAATGGTCTCTCCCCCTTTGGCGCGGGCGCCACTCTGCGGAGCAAGCTCACGGCAAAACCTCCCGCCACCACCCAAAGGCTGTGGGAAGTAGTAGAAAAGGAGATCTGGACAGATGAGTCCATGAAGAGGGCTAGGGAGGCCTTTGCCGAAGGCGAGAAGAAGAAGCCAGAGGCGAAGAAGCTCAGCATCGGATCTCCGAAATTTGAGTCCAAGATCTCTATCCTCACTAAAACCAGGAAGGAAGTCCTCCAAATTCACAAGAGCGAGTTCAAACTTCCACCTCCGGGCAAGTCTCAGGATGAATCCTCGTCCGAATGGTGCGACTTTCACCGAAGCAAAGGGCACGACACCAAGGATTGCTATAGGCTAAAGAACGAGATCGAAGAGGGCCTCAAGGCGGGCAAGTTCCAGGATTGTGTCCAGAAGGGGTCCCAGGAGAAAGCGTCAGGCCGGCCCAAGAACCGGAAGTGGAGGAGGAACAAAGCCAAGGCCGTCGACCGAACCCCCCCGGGGGACGGGCCTAAGGCCCAGTATGGTGTTGATCCAGCACAGGCTCGGCAGATCTTGGCCGCCCCCGTAGGCGCTATCTTTGGCGCACCCTTGGGGGTTCAGAGTGTTGCCGCGCTCCGCACGAGTTCACGTCCCCGACCGCCGGGGGAATTCGAAGCTAAACGCCTTCGTCCCGGAGAGGTAATATCTTTCTCGGAGCAGGACCTGGTGGGCAGCTCTGAAGATTATTCCAACGCGCTTGTCATCACAGCCATAGTCGCCAACAGGGAAGTTTGGCGGGTGTACGTGGATAATGGCAGTACGGTGGACATCATGTACATTGATTGTTTTCAAAAACTGGGCCTCGATAAAACTCTGCTCCGCCCCACATCCATACCACTGGTCGGTTTTTCCAACCACACAATAATGCATGTAGGCATCATCAGTCTGGCCATCACTGTAGGGACCTATCCCAAGGATCGCATGATCTTAGTCGACTTCGCGGTAGTGGACGTCGTTGCCCTTTTAATATCATTCTTGGGAGACCCTGGATGGCTAAAGCGAAGGCTGTTTATTCACCTTACCATCTGGTCATGAAGTTTCCGACAGAGGCAGGGATTGCGGAAGTTCGGGGAGACCAGCAGTTAGCCCGGCAATGTATGGTCATCGCTGCCAAGAAGGGACGTGACTTTCTCTAGAAGAAGGCGACCGTCGAGTCCATCCAGAAGGCCCCGGCCATTGAAGAAGAGGACCCCGTTACCGACGATCCTGGTCTCGCGGATGAAGAAGTCACCGACGTCGCTTTGAATCCTTTCGTGGAAGGAAGGGTCATTAGCCTTTGGGTGGCTTTGCCCCCTAGTCTTCGGGACCTGGTGATAGAATTGTTGAAATAATTCGAAGATATTTTCGCTTGGAGCCCCAGCGACATGACGGGGATTCCCCCCGAGTTGGGCGTTCACGAGCTCAACGTCGACCCTAGGGCCCGGCCCATACAGCAGAAGAGACGGAAGATGGCCCCCGAACACAACGCTGCCGTCGATGCGGAAGTTACCAAGCTTTTAGCTGTGTCCATCCTCAAGGAGATCTGTTACCCTACATGGCTGGCTAATCCCGTTATGGTCAAGAAACCCGACTCTTCCTGGCGTATGTATGTGGATTACAAGGATCTCAATAAACACTGCCCTAAGGATTGCTATCCCCTTCCTGCTATTAAGCAAAAGGTCGATGCTATCTCGGGGTACCCAGTACTTAGCTTTCTGGAATCGTATAAAGGGTACCACCAGATCCTTATGCACGAAGATGATGCTGAGAAGACCGCCTTCGTCACTGAGAAGGGGATGTTCTGTTATGTCAAAATGCCATCCGGACTCAAGAATGCGGGAGCCACCTATCAACGGATGGCCAATCACATCTTCGGAGGCCAGCTGGGACGGAACATAGAGGTTTACGTGGATGACATGGTTGTGAAAAGCCGTAGGACGGACCTCGTGGTTGAAGATCTTCGAGAGACCTTCCAGATCCTCAGGGCGTCTAACATGAAGCTGAATCCGAAAAAGTGTGTATTCTGCGTCGGATCCAGAAAGTTCTTGGGTTTTCAGATTTCTCGGAGGGGAATCGACGTAGACCCTACGAAGATTCGAGCCATTCTGGACATGCAGGCCCCGCGTTCCGTCAAAGAGGTACAGAAGCTTACGGGTTCGATCGCAGCCTTAGGACGGTTCCTGTCAAAGGTGGCCGAACGAAGCCTGCCCTTCTTCCAAGTCCTCAAAAAGTCTGATACCTTTGGCTGGACTGAGGCGTGCCAAAAAGCCTTCATCGAACTCAAGGAACATTTGAAGACTCTTTTAACCCTGAGTACGCCCGACCCAGGGGAAACTCTGATTTTGTACCTGGCCGTAGGGGACTCTACCGTGAGTGCAGCATTCGTACGGGAACATAGGGGAACGCAGATTCTAGTTTACTACGTCAGTAAGGTTCTCCTACCTGCTGAGTCTCGATACACTCCAGCGGAGAAGTTGATATTCTGCCGTGTGACTGCTGCCCGAAAGTTGCGCCCATACTTCCAGGCGCACCCAATCCTCGTTCTTACAGACCAGCCCCTACAGCAGATTCTCCAAAAATCCGACACGTCAGGATGGATGGCTAAGTGGGCTGTGGAACTCGGTGAGCATGACATACAGTTTCGGCCTCGAACTTCAATCAAGGGTCAAGCCCTGGCTGATTTCCTTGTCAAAGTTCCCCGAGGGACGGAAGCTGCGGATGAAGAATGCCCTCAAGGCCCTCAAGACGCTCCCTTGATCCCTGTCGGATCGCAAAGTTGGACGTTGTTCGTAGATGGATCTACTTCCAGGGAGGGTTCGGGTGCGGGGGTGGTTCTGACCGATCCCCAGGGGTCGGAGATTGTCTATGCCATTCAACAGGACTTCCCACCACGAACAATGAAGCCGAGTACGAAGCGCTAATCGTCGGGCTTTCAATCGCCCGTGCCCTCGGAGTTCAAGAGGTGTCGGTCTGCAGTGATTCCCTGGTGGTCGTCAATCATGTCCTCCAACTGTACGAAGCTCGGGAAGCGATCCTCCAGAAATACCTTCAAAGAGTCAGGGTGTTGGAACGCAGCTTCCGCGCCTTCCACATTCAGTACATTCCGGGGTCGCAAAATAAAAAGGCTGATGCCCTAAGCAAGTTGGCCTCTTCCCGTGCCGTACGCTTGACCCAGCAGATCCACATTGAAGTCAAGACACGCCCAAGTATTCTGGACGACGAAGTCTTGCCCGTAGTTATTGACGAAGCCTCCTGGATGATGCCCTTCATTCAGTACCTCCGAACCGGGACATTGCCACCAGACCCGAAGGAAGCCCGGAGGATTCGGCTCAAAGCATCTAAGTATCTGCTCAGAGACGGGATCCTCTACAAGCGAGGGTATTTAACTCCTCTGCTACGCTGCGTGGGACCGCGGGAAGCTGAAGTCTTGGTGCGGAGTATGCACGAGGGCGCTTGTGGGGCTAATTTGGGTTCGCGGAATCTGGCCAAAAAGTTGATCCGCGCCGGGTATTACTGGCCTACCCTGTCCAAGGATTGCTACGACCTTGTCATTCGGTGCGCGCAATGCCAAAAACATGCTCCCATCCCGCGTCTCCCCCAACATGAGATGGTCCCAATTACCAGCCCTTGGCCTTTCTACAAGTGGGGCACAGACATAATAGGACCATTCCCTGTGGCCTCGGGCAAGCTCAAGATTGTGATTGTCGCAATTGACTATTTTTCTAAGTGGGTCGAGGCGGAGCCTCTAGCCTCCACCACAGGGAAGAATGTGGCCAAATTCTTCTGGAAGAACGTAGTCTGTTGGTTTGGGATCCCGAAAGTCCTCGTCTCAGACAATGGAACCCAGTTTGAATCGAAGATTTTCTCATCCTGGTGTGAACAGCTAGGGATCGAGCGACGGTTCTCATCTGTGGCCCATCCCCAGAACAACGGGTTGGCTGAGAACATAAACAAGGCCATCCTACAAGGCATGAAGAAGCGACTAAAGAAAGCTGAGGGGCTATGGCCCAAGGACCTGACACACGTCCTCTGGGCCATCTGCACCACTATGAGAACGGCAACAGGAGCGACCCCTTTCAGCCTTGTTTATGGTATGGAGGCCGTCCTTCCAGCCGAAATTGAGGTCCCCAGCCCCCGGGTGGTCGACTTTGCAGAAGAAATGAACGAAGGCGAAGCCCGACTGTGCCTCGATTTCTTGGATAAACGTCGAGACCTGGCCAAGGCCCGCGAAGCCAGATATAAGCAGATCGTGGCCAAATACTACAATTCCAAGGTTCGGGCATGGGACTTCGAAGTCGGAGACCTTGTCCTCCGACGAAATGACGTAAGCCACGCCGAACCTACGGGTAACCTAGCTCCAAACTGGGAGGGGCCGTACCAGATTGTGGAAGTTTCCCCCTCAGGAAGTTATCGTCTGCGCAAGTGCGATGATGAGCCCCGTGCCATACCCCGATGGTGGAACATCCAGAACCTGAAAAAAGTTCAATGTTTAAAGGCCCCCGCCTGCTTTTGTAATAGATATTAGCCTAGGAAAGCTCCGGCACTTTTGATGAATATATAAAACCTCCCGTGCTTTCCTACCAGCGCCATGTACAAAGTCGTCTCGACCCCAGTGGCCGACGGCACCGCGTGGCCTCTGCGGCCTACGGCACCCTGACGGTCTCCACAACCTTGGGGCATTTACAGAGCTGTCTCGACCCTAGTGGCCGACGGCACCGCGTGGCCTCCGCAGCCTGCGGCACCCCGATGGTCTCCGCGACCTTGGGGCATTTACAAAGCCGTCTCGACCCCAGTGGCCGACGGCATAGCATGGCCTCCGCGGCCTGCGGCACCCCGACGGTCCCCGTGACCTTGGGGCATTTACAAAGCCGTCTCCACCCCAGTAGCCGACGGCACCGCGTGGCCTCTGCGGCCTGCGGCACTCTGACGGTCTCCGCACCTTGGGGCATTTACAAAGCCGTCTCGACCCCAGTGGCCGACGGCACCGCGTGGCCTCCGCGACCTGCTGCACCCTGACGGCCTCCACAACCCTAGGGGAACTGCATGGCCGTCCAAAACAAAGCGCCGACACCCGGTGTCCGCAGATTATAGAATGCGGAGGGGCCCCACGACCTTCCGTCAGGTACGATTCAACTGAACACCTACTGATCATTATAACAACAGTAATACAGTTGAAATATGAAATCTGGGGGAAGATACTCATATCGCTATCGCCTCCGTCAAACGATAGCAACACGTCGGTAATAAAAAGAATTTCATATACACAACCGTAAAAACATGAATAATAATAATAAAACGAGTAAACAAAATAAATAAAGAAGTAGTCGGGGTCGATGGTCAAAAAAGGGAGCTTAAATTTCTTAAAAATTTCATATACACAGCCCTCAGATCTATACACTTGACAAAAAACACATGGATAACCTAACCTAATCACGTGTTCTTAACGAGACCCCTGACCCAACTCAAAGAACAAAGCATCGTTCTCATATATCAAGCGTTCGGCCTCACGAGTCGGAGAAGTGGGCTCGTCTCGCATAGCTGGACAAGGTTCGGGCCACAATGCTGCGAAGTCATACTCCTTCCCCGTCTCCATGATGAAGGATATCGCGCTTTCCAAAGCTGCCCAAAGCTGACCGGCATATGACCGAAGAGCCTCAATCTTATCAAAAGAACGATCCCACTTCACAGCAACCAAGGCGTAAGCCTTCCGGAGGTGTACCAGCACGCTCTCAAAGTAGTTACGGGGGATAAAATCTTCTGGGTCGGGTTTGGCTAAACCCTCGTCCTTCTTCCTCCGTATCTTGGCTTCGAATGTCCGAAGGCGATTGTTAGCCAACATTTGCAATTGTATGGAATTCTTTAGGTGGTCTTCCCAATAATCCTCCGTATCCCGCCATAACTTGTCCAACCGGTTGTTCTCAGCCTTCTCCTCGAGAACGGCCTTACGTGCCTCGTCCAACTCCGAGGCCCTGAAGGTTTGCAAAGCCTCTTCGAGTTGTCCTTCAAGACCTGACAGTCATCCCCGGCCCCTATCAACGTTCGGATCCGCCAAGGCCCCTCCTACGGCCGCGTAAAGTGGAAAGGCCTTAGGGTCATGGTGAGGGTCGGGCAACTGCAAGTCGATCCAAAGAATCCCTGAAGTTTCCCAAAGACCCGGGGTCGCGGGCAACCCTCGAGAGGTGCCGTCAGGATGAGAGGGGAAGTCCGAAGTCGTGCCCTTCCCCTGTAAGCAAGCGCGTGTTAGCAACAAGCTGTATGGGTGCGCATTCCCAAAGACAAAACAAGTTTGCACCGAGGAACAGATGCTTATATGTAGACTGTAGACTTAGAATTCCGTTAAGATGGACACGGTGAGAAATCCAAAGGTACGAAACAAGAGACGATGGATAACAAACATAAATTTCATTTCTAAATAATTAAAGTTCAGATACAACGGGGAAGGCCCCGGAGACATGATTGCTAGGAATCCTAACCCTACGTGTCGTTCACCTTGTCTCCGCTGCGGGCGTTGGTGTCCGTTGACGTTCCTCCTCCTCCTCGGTTGCCGGAGTTGTACCCTTGGGGTGGAGGCGCGGATGCAACTATCTCTGGTTCGTCCTCCAGTCCGGTGGCATGCCGGGAGGCGTTTCCGTCCCCTCTCGCATCGAAAGACGAACGAGGGACTACCTGGAATGTTCAGGATGTCCTCGGGCTTCGAAACGAAGGCGTAGGCTTCGGAAATCTGCTGCATAATAGGGAGACTGGCAAAATCCATATCCCGGAAGTGTTTCCGGGCCTTGCACCGGAATCGCACCGCGGATGTCTTTCCTTTCTTGTCCCTGTCAGCATACTTTTCGAGGACGGGCCAGATGTCCTCATTCTTCTTCTGGGCCGCCTCAATTTCCAAGACGACCTTCCTCGCCCCCCTTTCCATAGCAGGGTCCATAACATCGTTTATTCCGAGGGCGAACTCGGACGACCCCAGGTACCGCTGGACCCCCGCCAAGATGTACGTGTCCAGTCGGGACTTCGGGACACTCGTGGCCAGCAAACTTTCCATCTGAAGGCGGTGGGTCAGCTCCGCATCATCGAGCTGTGCCTTCATCCTCGCAACCTCCTCTTCCAAGCGCTTCCTTTCCTATTCCAGACGCGCTCTTTTCCCTTCCGAGGCCTTGAACATGACCTCCGCATCTCTGGCCCTGTTGGCCTCACTCGTGGCCGTCCTCTGGGCCGAGGCCAGCTTCTCTCCCAAGCCCGTACATACGGTCATAAATGTGTTGATTGCCTACACGGCCTGCAATTGGGGCATCCTAGGTCAGCAAGGAAATGCGTTTACGGAGGGAGGAACCTTGAAGTAAAAACACAAGAACTCACCTGTCTCATGCCGTCCTCCAGCCTCGCTGCCTCGGCCTCGGGTAACTCCGGGCATTCGACCCGAGGAGGGTCGAAGGTTAGTAGAGCGTGGCCCGCAGGTACGTCCTCAAATAAATCGGTACCCCGACCCGGATCTGCGTATCCTTCCTTCAGGAGGTCGTCGAGGGAAGATAACTCAAGGATCGCTGGGAGGCTGAAGGACAGCGGATCCACCTCCACGACCTCCGGGACTCCCCTTTTCCTCTTCAATTGACCTGAGGGTCGGCCGGAGGAGTTCCCCCTCCTGGAACTCTCGACGAGCGTCCTCGTCGCCTACCTGGAGCATTTACAAAGCCGTCTCGACCCCAGTGGCCGACGGCACCAGCATGGCCTCCGCGGCCTGCTGCACCCTGACGGCCTCCACAACCCTAGGGGAACTGCATGGCCATCCAAAACAAAGCGCCGACACCCGATGTCCGCAGATTATAGAATGCGGAAGGCCCCAACGACCTTCCGTCAGGTACGATTCAACTGAACACCTACCGATCACTATAACAACAGTAATACAGTTGAAATATGAAATCTGGGGGAAGATACTCATATCGCTATCGCCTCCGTCAAACGATAGCAACACGTCGGTAATAGAAAGAATTTCATATACACAACCGTAAAAACATGAATAATAATAATAAAACGAGTAAACAAAATAAATCAAGAAGTAGTCGGGGTCGATGGTCAAAAAAGGGAGCTTAAATTTCTTAAAAATTTCATATACACAGCCCTCAGATCTATACACTTGACAAAAAACACATGGATAACCTAACCTAATCACGTGTTCTTAACGAGACCCCTGACCCAACTCAAAGCACAAAGCATCGTTCTCATATATCAAGCGTTCGGCCTCACGAGTCGGAGAAGTGGGCTCGTCTCGCATAGCTGGACAAGGTTCGGGCCACAATGCTGCAAAGTCATACTCCTTCCCCGTCTCCATGATGAAGGATATCGCGCTTTCCAAAGCTGCCCAAAGCTGACCGGCATATGACCGAAGAGCCTCAATCTTACCAGAAGAACGATCCCACTTCACAAAGAACCAAGGCGTAAGCCTTCCGGAGGTGTACCAGCACGCTCTCAAAGTAGTTACGGGGGATAAAATCTTCTGGGTCGGGTTTGGCTAAACCCTCGTCCTTCTTCCTCCGTATCTTGGCTTCGAATGTCCGAAGGCGATTGTTAGCCAACATTTGCAATTGTATGGAATTCTTTAGGTGGTCTTCCCAATAATCCTCCGTATCCCGCCATAACTTGTCCAACCGGTTGTTCTCAGCCTTCGCCTCGAGAACGGCCTTACGTGCCTCGTCCAACTCCGAGGCCCTGAAGGTTTGCAAAGCCTCTTCGAGTTGTCCTTCGAGACCTGACAGTCGTCCCCGGCCCCTATCAACGTTCGGATCCGCCAAGGCCCCTCCTACGGCCGCGTAAAGTGGAAAGGCTGTAGGGTCATGGTGAGGGTCGGGCAACTGCAAGTCGATCCACAGAATCCCTGAAGTTTCCCAAAGACCCAGGGTCGCGGGCAACCCTCGAGAGGTGCCGTCAGGATGAGAGGGGAAGTCCGAAGTCGTGCCCTTCCCCTATAAGCAAGCGCGTGTTAGCAACAAGCTGTATGGGTGCGCATTCCCAAAGACAAAACAAGTTTGCACCGAGGAACAGATGCTTATATGTAGACTGTAGACTTAGAATTCCGTTAAGATGGACACGGTGAGAAATCCAAAGGTACGAAACAAGAGACGATGGAGAACAAACATAAATTTCATTTCTAAATAATTAAAGTTCAGATACAACGAGGAAGGCCCCGGAGACATGATTGCTAGGAATCCTAACCCTACGTGTCGTTCACCTTGTCTCTGCTGCGGGCGTTGGTGTCCGTTGACGTTCCTCCTCCTCCTCGGTTGCCGGAGTTGTACCCTTGGGGTGGAGGCGCGGATGCAACTATCTCTGGTTCGTCGTCCAGTCCCGGTGGCATGCTGGGAGGCGTTTCCGTCCCCCTCGGCATCTGAAAGACGAACGAGGGACTACCTGGAATGTTCAGGATGTCCTCGGGCTTCGAAACGAAGGCGTAGGCTTCGGAAATCTGCTGCATAATAGGGAGACTGGCAAAATCCATATCCCAGAAGTGTTTCCGGGCCTTGCACCGGAATCGCACCGCGGATGTCTTTCCTTTCTTGTCCTTGTCAGCATACTTTTCGAGGACGGGCCGGATGTCCTCATTCTTCTTCTGGGCCGCTCAATTTCCAAGACGACCTTCCTCGCCCCCCTTTCCATAGCAGGGTCCATAACATCGTTTATTCCGAGGGCGAACTCGGACGACCCCAGGTACCGCTGCCCGCCAAGATGTACGTGTCCAGTCGGGACTTCGGGACACTCGTGGCCAGCAAACTTTCCATCTGAAGACGGTGGGTCAGCTCCGCATCCTCGAGCTGTGCCTTCATCCTCGCAACCTCCTCTTCCAAGCGCTTCCTTTCCTATTCCAGACGCGCTCTTTTCCCTTCCGAGGCCTTGAACATGACCTCCGCATCTCTGGCCCTGTTGGCCTCACTCGTGGCCGTCCTCTGGGCCGAGGCCAGCTTCTCTCCCAAGCCCGTACATACGGTCATAAATGTATTGATTGCCTACACGGCCTGCAATTGGGGCATCCTAGGTCAGCAAGGAAATGCGTTTACGGAGGGAGGAACCTTGAAGTAAAAACACAAGAACTCACCTGTCTCATGCCGTCCTCCAGCCTCGCTGCTTCGGCCTCGCGTAACTCCGGGCATTCGACCCGAGGAGGGTCGAAGGTTAGTAGAGCGTGGCCCGCGGGTACGTCCTCAAATAAATCGGTATCCCGACCCGGATCTGCGTATCCTTCCTTCAGGAGGTCGTCGAGGGAAGATAACTCATGGATCGCTGGGAGGCTGAAGGACAGCGGATCCACCTCCACGACCTCCGGGACTTCCCTTTTCCTCTTCAAGTGACCTGAGGGTCGGCCGGAGGAGTTCCCCATCCCTGAACTCTCGATGGGCGTCCTCGTCGCCTGCCCGGAGGACGCTGCCCCTGTCTCAGGTGGGGCGACCTCTTGTGGCCCTTCTTCGGCGTGCTGCTCTTCCTCGTCTTAATCATCAAAAGCCGAATGTTTACCCATCAAATTAGTAAATATACCTATCAACAGGAAAATAACCGGAGTTAGTCTTCGGGTAAGATACCTTGATTACGAGTGCTGATCCGGTCGCTTAGCAACGCGATTTGCCTATAGGTATAGGTCTTCTTCCAGCCGGCTAATTTCTCCAAGTCCCTCCTCCGGGTTTCAATATCTTTCTTATCCTTCTTGGTCCACGGATCCAAGCTGATTGTCCCTCCCTCGTCCGATATCCACGGAAACAGGGAGACAAAGTTCGCATCCACGTAGAAGAATCCTGACCTCCAGTGTTTGGAACTCTCATTCTTTGCTACCAACTCCTTGGAGGGTCCATGCGGATTCTTGGTGAAGCTGAACCATCTGGGAAAGCTCTTCCCGCATCGGACGAGCTTGTAGAAGCACCTGAACAAGAAAACGTCTGGTTCCACCCCCATCTTGTTGCACACGTGTACGAAGGCCAGGACTATGGTTATAAGATTCGGGGTGTATTGGGCCAGGGGTCGACCATAAGCCTCTACAATCTTCCTAAACATAGGCATCAAGGGGAAATGCAATCCGTATTCCAAAAACTTCTCGTAAATCGTAATCTTTCCCAGAGGAGGAGTGTTGGCTCTCTCATGGCCTTCCGGTAATGTGGGGTTTACGGCCGTAAGGCTGTAATAGCTCTCCAACTCACTCAGCCTGTCTTGGGTCAACGAACACTCTACGTCCTCTACCCTAACTACTTCCTTGGCCATCTGGTAAATCGAAGGAGCAAGAAAAGAAGGAAACTTACTTGTCTGTGGTCGGCTGGGATTCACCCCCGTACACTCACAGGCTGTAATTCCGATCTCTGAGCTGAGAAACGCCCTCGGTTATGAAATAGAAGGGAATGGAGGAGAGAAAATAAAACTTCAGTGTTTATGCCTGGGAGAGAAAATGAAGGAAAAGAAATGAAGTCTTGTGTCCTATGGGGCGTATATATACCCCCCAAAGGGATGCGAACAGTCGCATCGGTTACCATCCGGTGCCATCATTGCGGCGCTTTGTTCCATGAAATCCTGGGTGTCCACCCTGTTTGGACGAAGAAGATCCCGACCGTTGGATCCATAGCGGTATAAGAATGGAAGGTTCTGGGTAGTGGGCTCTTCCGACTGGGCCTTCGGTTTCTTTGTGTCAAGCCTAACCCGACTCTACTGCATTGGGCTGGAAAGGGGCATTTGTTGGTGGTCATATCTGACCTTCCCGGACCGGCTCAATCGGCCCACCAACTTGGGCTCACCTTACAGACCCAACTCGTCTATTTATTTAATTCTTTTGGGCCCAGCCGGTTCACAAAGAATTAACACATATCTATTCACGCTTTTACCCCTCTCGACAAAGGGGTCCACAGGTATTGTCCCATTGGGGACCTATAAATACTCCTTGATTCATTTATTGCAGATTCAATTTTTTCACACTCCCACTTTCTCTCTCTAAGTGTGATAATAAATTACTTCTCTCTAGGACTGACTTGACCTTCGGAGTGCTAACCTCCTTTTTGCAGGTCCCTGTCTAGGTCGGACCGTTGGCTCTGTTTCCGGGATTTGCCCTCGACAATATTATGTTAATTAGGCAATGAAATTTTACCAAAATTAATATTTACTTAATAAAGTAAAGTGTATTTAATCAATCAAATAGCCAATTTTCTATATGTAAAGCTTGTGCTTCAATGCTTAACAGAATTGGAGTTGGCTCAGTGGATGGTTGGTGTTTCTTAAATGCGTGAGTTTTGGGGTTCGAAACCCCCTTGTAAGATTTTGTTCTTCCTCCAGTTGCTGACGTTGTCAGACTCGTTGCTGACTTCAGTAACTTTTTTTTCGAAATTTGATACTATTTTCCTGAAATTTGATGATGTCACGCTTTTTAAAAGATTTTGATATTTTCTTGCAATTTGCTGACTAAAAAATTCAGCAATAGTTGGAGTATTGGGATTGGTTGACTAAAAAATTCATATTCAAGCTTTTACATTTTGTTTAGAAATTTTAAAAAATTTAATGTTTAGGACTATTCCATTGGTAGTGTGTGCATCTCCTTTGTGCATTTTGTAACCATAATATTCTTACTATGTGTGCATTTATTTATTTACTTATTTATTTTTTGATGATTTCACCAGGAAAATGTAGTAGGAGTTTCGACATGTTATATTGTTTTGCCTGGAGTTGCTATCTAACGCAATATAACGCAAATTAAACCATGTTTGGAATGATTTAAAAAGGTGATCCAACTGTATTTTTGTGTTGTAAATAAGTGCATATATCAAGTATTTTTGCGTTTTTATCAAGGATACTCGCAACGGATATCATTTCCACGATTTGCATTCTAAAGTGTAGCAGTCGATGCCTGCAATGTAAGATGGCCAGCTTGTTAGATTAAATTTGTTTTTTCTATTATTATAATCCAATTTGTGGTTTGCATTTATGATATGAATAGTAGAAATACGTTTAACGTATTTGCATCCGGTTACATGCAGCTAGTATACAAAAGTTATGTTGCCAGGTTTTCTAGTCGGGATCTTTACTTATTTATTTAACTTTGATGCCATTGAAAGTTTTTAAAAATCATATTGGCATTTAAAAGTTTTGAAGCATGAGAGGGGAAATGGATCAAAGGAAAGAAACTGAATTACTCCCTCTGTCCCAAAATTATTGTCCACTTTGAGATTTCACTTTTAGTATAATTTGAACTAAAAATAAAAATCTAAACTGGACAATAATTATGGAACGGAGGGAATACTTAGTTAACTCAGATTGTGACAAATCCTAACAGTATACTATTCAATAAAAATATCATCTCACACGTTATTAATCGCACAAGTCGTTCTAACATTCACAACATGGTTCATTTGTTATATTAATGTTAATTTGATCTAAACGATAAAAAAAATCATGTCATAATGACAAATAAAATTATAACCAATTACTAATAGAAAATAGAAGAGAGAAAAACCAGTAGACCACCTTGATATTCATGTAAGTGTAATATATATATATATATAGAGAGAGAGAGAGAGAACTTGTGTAACATGTAAAAATTTTTATTCCTTTCCCAATGAAGCAAATCAGTTTCAAATCTCATTTGACTTTTGGTCTTTGTCCAAAAGAGTACCAAATTTTCACGTTTTGTATTAACTCCATTTTCAACACCGATCGACGCGTGTCGATCAATGTAATCCATCAAATACTTACTAGTTCACTACAAATACCACTAGATCTGAAATGATATGTAGTCATCATTACAAGTATCAATTCATAGCTCAACTTACATTCTCTGAATACAATTCTGCTTTAAAGAATGGGGGAAATGAAGTTTTCTTTTTGCTACTTTATAGTGTTATTCCTGGTTATGGTGTCACAAATTGAGGAGACGTCGGCAGTGGAGTGTAACGTTATGGAACTGACACCATGCGCAAGTGCGGTGATCGGAGGCAATCCACCAACCCCCCAATGCTGCACAAAATTAAAGGAGCAAGAGCCTTGTTTTTGTGAATTCAAAAAGAATCCTGTGGTTGGACCTTATTTTTCCAATCCCAATGCTAAAAAGACAATCAAAGCATGTGGTTTGAAGTGGCCGACTTGTTAGATGTTTTTATTAGTCCTATTATTATGATGAGCAAATTTCTGTGGGACTTTTAATTTAGGTCTCTACAATTAGTGTTGGATCATCTTTTGAATTTTTACTATAAGCAGTTTTTCTCTTTCTAATTTGGTATGATTGTTGTGAAAATTTTGAGAACTTTGTTCTTGCTAATTTAAGAAAAAAAGACTTTTGATAAAATAAATTCGAGACATGTACACGATAAACAATTAAATAGAAAAATAAGAAAAACTAATGTCATTTTGATATGAGAATTTAACGTGGTGATAGATCATTAATGTCACTAATTCATTATTTAGTACCAAATTACAATGTCTCCTATTAATATACTGACATCTTTCCCCAAAGTAAATATGATTTGCCATACTAGAAGTTTAAAATAGCAATCATGACAATATCATGAAATATAAATTCATGGGAATGTCATTTACATGGCAAAATTGCTAAAATTTCCTCATGAAAATCAGCCATTAAGTACATTACCATTTCAGCCACAATATATATAACTTTAGTTTTACGTTTTGGAAAAAAAAAATGAAACTAGCAGAGATAAGCAGTTGTTTGATGTTGATGGTGTGTCTGGTTTGTAAAGGTGAAATCAAATCCAATAGACATATAATTGAATATGATATAAAGCAAATTGAAACCACGTTGGAAGGTATTTAGAACTGGTGAACCAACCGTGATGGATATCATTTCTAGGACCGTTATGCTAAAGTGGCTATCGCTGCTTGTAATGTAATTCACCTGGTCTCCTAGCTACATTCATTCATTTGTTTCTTACTTACCAGTTTGATTTTAATATATATTCATTATCTGAATCTTGAAAACATGGCTCATGTCTTGAAGTCCATTGCTTATGGCAAGTCAAAAAGTTGTCGGATTGATATTAATAGTAGCGCTTTTCCTTTTTATAAATGCTAATTAATTAATTAATTTCAATTCCATTTAATTTCTAAAACAAGAGCTCTTATTTTTAAAAATAAAGGCATCTGATATTTTGAGCTTTTAAAGTGATGAAGCATTTGTGGGGGAGAAGCGAAGGAAAAAAACTTTCACTTAAGTATGTCGCACTGTGGCTAATCCGAACAATATACCTTCATACGATGATCTAAATATTTTGAGACACAATTGAACAAAGTCTAAATAAAAATACCACCTGATGTGCTATTTATCATACAAGTCATTTTAACATTCATGACATTGGTTCATTTTGTATAATATGTATTAAATAATTTTATTTAAATGAAAAACAAAACCCAAAATACTAAGTACGACAAGTACAATTATCACCAATCACAAATAGAGAAAAGAAGAAGAAAAACCATCTTATTACGCAAACGAGTGTAACTTAAAAAATAAAAATGACGCATTGAATATGTCTAATGAACGACATAATTATTTTCCTCCAAAGGATTAGCCTTAGACAAACTTAGTTGGACAGCTAGTATAACATCTGGAATATTTATTTCTTTTTAAATAAAGCCAATCAGGTACACATTTGATCTGACTTTTGATCCTGGTTCAATGAAATTAAATCTCTGTTCACACAGTTTTTATTCACTCCATTTTCAATGCCCATCGACACGTGTCAATCGTGAAAGCCTCAATTTACTTACCAGTTCAATGTAACTACGCGTTGCAATGCTATCGTACATGTCAATTCTCTTCTCACTTGATATTTGTCCAATACAAATACGCTTAAAAGAGTAAGACGAAAATGAAGTTGTCAATGTGATCTTTTGTGGTGTTATGCGTGATTATGGTCGCACAATTGGAGGAGACATCCGTGATGGTGTGCAACATAAGGGACTTTGTGTTTAAAGGGGATCCACCAATCCCATAATGTTGTGCAAAGGGAAAGGAGGAAGAAGCCTGTTTTTGCTAGTTCATCAGAAATTCTGCATTTAGACCTTATATTGATAAGACTAACGTGGCCGACTTGCTAGAAATATTTTTATTAGTCCCTCTCATCATGATGAGCCAATTTGTATGAGACGTTTGATTTAGATCTCAAGCCATGTTGTATCATCTTCTGAATTTCTAATATGAGTTGAATCATCTTTAATTTTGCTATGGACTGATTTCAGATATTTAATATAAGAGGTTAGATCTCTCAGGC